TGAGAAGCCTGAGACAAGGCCAACCTATCGGCGAGTCCAGACCTAAAGCAAGTCAGAGAGCAGAAGGTGGACGTCCACAGCGCAAGGCGGCTCGCGGCCTTCGCGTTACGGTCTCTGGCCGTCTTTCTCTTGTTCGCCAGTTACTTCTTCGACAGCAAGCCGACCGGGCCAAGTGCCTCGCCTGGGGCCTTGCAGCGCCGTGACCGGCATCTTTCTGGCCAGACGGACCACTCCATGCCGATCGGCCAAGCCTCAGCGCGTTCCTTGAAGGCATGCTCGGACTCAAGAGCGTATGGCAGGCCTCCGAGTGCGCCTTACGCTTCAACTTGTCTCGTTCCCAGCGGTAGCGGCGACCGCTGCCGCTACGATTTTTCTACAGAAGCACTCCATCATCACGAGGCCCGGAACAGCCGGCGGCAGCCAGAGCGGACCAGACGACAGACGTGGGTTTGCCCACATTTTACCCTCACAACGCCATTCGAACGTTCGAACTGTCTCGCTAAAACTGGCTATGGCAAGCTGGTGGTAGCACTAGGCCGGGAGCATCCAAGATGGTAAAGAGAGACAGACACATAGACGGAAATTCCTCTTTCGAGGAAGCGCTAGCTTTTTCGAGCGGCCGACGATTAGAAAAAGAGAATGAGGAAAAAAGGAAGGACCGTCGGTGATCAGGATGGCGTTGGAACGGAACTGTTGGCACTCAGGTCTCGTGCCCAATTTGACGTTTAAACACTTTTCGAAGTAAACGAATGACTTCTTTATTAGGGGTGCCGCTTGTGGCCGTCACTGTGTTGAATTTGGTTCGAACAGTACAAGTGTATAGAAACGGTGCTTCTAGAAGTTAAGTTGCTGCCGTCAATTAAATTTCCGATAGACTCAAGGATGGCTATTATAGCCTATAACCCATCCATTGAACAATTTGTTAGGACCGTAGAAAATCGAGACAGGCTGAATCTATCTAGTAACCGTAAGGCAACGAAAGGCAATAGTACTCTGTACATTTCTCAAAAATAAATGTATATACTTTTCCAGTATATTATGTACGTGTTTATACAACGCCGATACTGAGCATATCGCAAGTAGTAAAATTACTGATTTTTGTAGATTGATTCTAAGAAAGGCTATACGAGCAAAACGTAGCTTTCTTACTACGACTTGTTACGACCCCGAGCGCTGCATCTTTTTCTACAAATCAAGAAATTCCTAGCTTAGGTTAGGTTATACGGTAAGAAATATTCTAGGAAGTCGCTATATAAAAGATAATCTACTATATAGAAAGCACTAAAGAAAAAAGTATTTAACTGTAATTCGTTTATTTATGGGATTCCGACTATGTTTCCTGTAATTTTGATGATTCGTCGGGTGTTTTTCCTCAGCTAAACTGGTTATGCACAATCCTGGCTTTTTTGAGGAAAGGTAATGGAAAGTACCGCGATCATCCTAATAGCACAACGTCGCTATTAGGATGACCGCAGTACAAAACTTCAACCGTGCTCTTTTTGAAGACAGTTTTTTCACCTGGGACGGCGTTCTGATTTACCTTATTCGAATCCACAGAGAAGTTGTAGTCCATAAAACAAAAATATTAAAAATAGAATAGGCTATCCGTCTCTGTGAGGGTGTCCGTCTCTATGCACAGACGAACATCTTCCACTTTTCTAATTGTGACACGTAGTACTCTGAGTTGGTACAGAATCACTAATGGACCAAACGAGCCCGAAGCTTTTCGATTCTTATTAGAGAAATGATATCGGGTCAATATTTCGCAGCCTGAATTTTCTTTATTTTACGCTGTTACCCTTCACAATCGTCAGAGATTGAAAGCAATGCATAAGCATTGATGGGGGAAACTGTCGTAGTCATTAGATATAGGGCAACTTTCTACTCTAATTTTCAAGCCCAGTCAGAGCCAGATGGGTTCGACGTGCATTATTTAGCTAGCCGCACCGGCACCGAGGTCGACCAGCACTGCCGACAGTGGGCTTGGTCGGACCAAGCCACCCTCATTTCTTCACGCCACTTCAGCGTCCCTTGGGCTTAGAACTCTGATACTTCCTGCTCACCGAAAAGAAGAGAGATTTCCCCCATAGATCGGCGCTTTAAGTAGGAACAGTGACTGGAGCCTATCCACAGTTTTTCGTTTTGAATCGCAAGTTGATCCAAGGCAAACCCCCATCTCAACATCGGCTCTCAGGAGCAAGAAAGAGTGCTTTCGACTCGTGTTTTACAGCTACAACTCATTTGAAGAGCGATCAAGGGGCACGGCTGGTTTCAGCTCTAAAACGCGGTAGACACCAACCTTTTCTGACGCAAAGGAGCGCGGTCGAGGCTGGAGCAAAGAGTGACTGAAAATGCTCATCAATCCATGTATGTTATATACTCGTATATTCATCTCTTTGATATCAAAAGAGAAGACGAATTGTGTGAGCTTTTATGAAAGGTAGTTCGAGTGCAAAAAAGATGCGATAACGGTAACCTATTCTATCGAGTTTTAACGAATTGGCGTAAGTATTTCAGAACCAAGCCGCTTATATAGTTATAGGACGTAACCGTCTTGGCGATGTACGATGCGAGTTAAAGGGAATCACTACCTGCAACGTACTATGTATGCCTGTAGATAAGGCGTAACGAAGCGTAATATGTACACATGGAATGTAGCTCGATGCCATGGACATCGAATGAATAGGGTAGCGTCCACTACTAACAATACTCTAGCGGAAGAAGACACGGAAGGCTATATAATATTCTTCTATAATATGACTCCATCAAACCAAAAGATGGAATCATGTTCACCGCTGCTGGAGAGTCAGTAACTATGCAATTAAAAATTTTGTTAGGTTCTAGTAAAATAGGGCTGTTTGTTATAGATACGCTGTGACCTTTAGGGTATCAAACACTCAAAACATTTCGCGTACCCGAGTAAGCAGAGTTATCTGATAATAGCAAACCACATCTACGGGATATGAAGTAGCCTGTGTAATTATTATTATTAATTAATTAGGTAAGTCTTTAGTTGTTTGGTCGGCAATATCTGAAACTTGGTAAGTGAGACGAACCTACCATTTTCCACGTTTTACTTACTGAGACGGCTAAAAATTGCTTGCACTCCGACAAAAAGTTCCAAACAGATATGTCCTAACGCTCTGAAGTGAGCTACCGGCTTCTCGTATAGTCCGTCCTTTTTCCTGGCTTCTGTATCATTTTGAACGAATTTCTGCCTACAAAACTAAGAAGACAATGAGAAGACGACAAAATAACATGCCTGTAAGCCGAGATCTGAGCATCGTCACCTTCCATCTATTCTATAGAGACGTTCTTCATCATTCTCAGGAGCTCTAAGAGGCTGTGTTCGTTCGCACGCTGGAAAGGAAGTTCTGTTAGTTGCTAGGATTTTGCTAGGCACCAAAATAGGGTTTCGCCAACTTCCAGAACAACTCCCGCCTCCGTTTCGATTGCACCTTCTGATAAATCTGACGGGATTTATGGAGTGAAGGCATCTCTGAGTTTGCCTTTATAGTCCTGCTACACCCGGAGCGCTTTGTGTGTCCCTAGCATTAGCATTGATGATTTTCTTGCGTAAGCTTCGTCTTCTGTTGTTGTTTGATCATCATCGACATCGACTTAGTCCTATGCGTAGAAACTAAACACAACCCAGAAATGACACGAAAACAGACTGTATCTTATTTCGCATGCTACTCGGAAAGCCTAGAAATTAAACGAAATACCGGAGATGCCGCAAAAAAATAAACTTGTACGATGCTCCGTTTAAGAAAATATTAGCGGCAGGCGTTCAAAGGTATTATCAGGTGGAGAAAAACGGGGGGCTTGCGGAAGGAGAAGTGAGTTTAGAATAATTGAGTAATGTCGTCTCCTATGGCAAAAGTAGAGCTGATAGTTGTCTCTTATCTCAAGAGATAGGTACCAGTATTCACGTGAAAAGCAGAATCTTCTATACTCGAAGGCAGGTGTACGGTCAGTCGAAGGCATTGTAAAAGTCGTAACGTTGTTGACACAGACTTGACTGAGATTGCCAGCTTTGTTAAACAGATGCTGAAGTTTTAGCATTTCGTTATTCGATCAAACTTTGGGCAAAAATACCAAAGATGGCGAAGGGGCTGAAACTAGTCTAATTTAATCCGCAACGAATACTTGAGCTTTGCAGATTTGCCCTTAGCATCGCACGAGATTGTAAAAGTGGCTAGTGGTTTTTCAGCCTTATCTTGCCTTTTTTCTCACTCATGACGTAGTTTCTGGAGATACTTTATCTTAGTATGACAGCTTCGTAAAGCCATATTGCAGTAGGACAATTCATTCATATATTGGTAAGTGCGTACATCATTATGTTTCATTGCTTTGACATACAACAGTGACGGTACGTTAATGCTCATCGGGGTCGACCCAGCTTGAAGGTAACTTAACCGTCAAATATTCGTATGGCCTTAACGTGGTTGTGGCAACGTCGCCGTGTGGGAGACAAGGGGAAAGATGAAAGCGGTCGACGAAAGAAATTCGCTCATAGTGTAATCGTTATGCTTATTGTTAGGTCTTCGGAAATTATTCGTGCCATGAGCTGACGTCGCCATTTGTAGCGACGGCCAAAGCTGAGTGAGGACCAATGAATAGAACAGTGGTATGGATAGTATATAGGTAGTTTATGAGGGCTTGTTTTATATCGTATAGACAAGGGTTCTTTTGCAATATCATTATAGATCGGCACGAACTCAATCAAATATATCGTAAGCGGACCTAATAAATTTTAAATACTAGATTTAGGTGCCAATATTTACATTGGTATTAATTCAGTCCTTTTTGGATAAAGATCTATTTTTAGGCAAGTACTATTTTCGCTATTAAAGCTGCCCGTTTAAGTATAATATGCCGTTATGTGGTTTAGATTAATGAGAGAATGAGTTTTCAATTATTTTTCAGCTTGCATATTTATAAGTGATATGTACATTACAAGTGATTGCACAGGGGGCAGGCAGTTGGAATCGCTCGATACAAATTCCCAAAGACACTCCCGGATTTTCTCAGCAATGACTAATTATTCCATACTTAATTGCATTGAAGCCGAAATTATTTTTCTCCCAGATCGAATGTTTCGTGCTTCGTTTTGAAGGCATGACGACTGGTCCTAATTGTTCACATCGTCGGGCAGTCTTATCACTTGAAAAATTGGTTGCGGGACCTGCTGTTCTTGCAAATACTTATGCGCTCGTACTGGCCTTTTGTCTCTTTTTGTCCTTCTTCTTTTTTTCGTTTAAAGTACGTCGAAGGCTGTTCTGATCACCACAGCATTGAATTTTCGCTGGCTCTGGTTCCAGAGCATGCGAATAAAGCAGGCTACTACCTGCTCTAGCGTTTCTATTACGTAGCCAACTTTCAAGCTTCCCCTTTAGCCTTGTAGCTATTAGGCTTCCCTCTCAGTTTCGTTGTAACGAACATCTTTGTTCTTCGTTCAGTCATGAATTTTTGTGCCGTACGCCGTCCGCACGTTAAAAGCCGCTGTCCAGGGACACATCGCGTCGGCTCCTCGAATTCACTATCATCACGATTCAGCACGTCCCTGCCGTAATCGTACCATTGAAAGCAATGAACCTTCCCTATGCCCCCGGCTGGTGCATCGGGGCCCTTGTAGGGAAGCGGCTGTACACGTTACGAAGAGTTTGTGACGGGAGTGGGTGTATAATCTCTGAATTCATTGCAATCCGCTAGCCCGATGGCCCATCGTGCAAAAGCCACTAGCTGAAAGTCACCGTGACAGTCAGCCCCATCGTTTCCAGAGACCGCGTCGGCCAGGTTGGGACCGCCTGTGTGATGGGAGTATTGCTCTTTCACCAGCTACTTATGAGGACCTCGGCATTGGCTACTACTGCTACTGATGCTGACAACACCAGCGAAGGAAAGCGTCGCCTCAGCGGGTCGTTCCAGCAGCGTTAGCGATACTAGAGGGTCTCGGTGGATAAGGGAGTCGCGGCCAACCGAAGTCATGCGAAACCCCTTCTAAAGGGTCGTTTCTCCAGAACCCCTAATCTCCCTTAGGCGCCCAAGCACAAGAGACATTGACGGCAAATAAGCTTCGCAGCCTGTAGCAGGTAAGAGTAACAGAGGTAGCATATAATGAAAGCTTCGAAGGACACAAGCCAGTCGTCAGCGGAGGCTACAGCCAGCATACTGCACTAGCCATACAATATCTCTCCGCTTCCTCCGAAGCTCTCTCTTTCTTGCTTGGTCTTGCGAACACCTAGCCAGCAAATCACCCCACCATTAAATTTTTGTGCGGTAAAAACTTCACCTGAATAATAATAATAATAATAATAATTTCTCCCGCCATGATTCTGAGCTAATACCGTCCCCAGCCTCGATAGCGTTGCACAGACTGAAGTCAGGCTACTATACCGAAGATAATATAGCTAGAGCTGGTGGTCCGATAGATAATAGTAAAGCTGCGAGTTCTTTCCTGCTCGTCTTTATGTTCTAGGGAAAAAGGTCTGGGTGTTTCCCTGCCTTTTTCCATCATTCTCAATCTGTATCTTCATGAGCCATGTGTTGCGAACTTATGGTCGGCTGACTGGATGCGACCACTGATACTTTTTAACTTCACCTGCGTTCCGAGCCTTCTGAATAAATAGGAGCCGGCGTACACGAGACTGATTGCGCGGAACCCCTCGGCGTCGAAACGAGAAAGAGAGATACATCGGACAGCGGCTACCAGATTAATTGCATTATTTCGCAGTTCTCCTGTTGCTGGCGGAGACAGCTCTTCATAAAGGGGCGTATATCGTAATTTAAATTTTGCCCGATAGCTGCAGCAGTAACGTGAAGCTGAAGTAAAACTTGGCTGAGCAGGAGAAAAACTGGATGGAAATTTGATAAGCACACATAACCCCTATTACAGACTGTTAATTTATTCGGTTCACAGTTATTTAACAATTTTGACATGCTCGAATTATACATATTTAAAACGATAGGTACATTCTAATTAAGATACAATAACATAGAACATTGGACAAAGTATTGTTTAAGCTGATGAGCAGATTTGTCTAGTAACATATTCCAATAATTATTGATAATATATAATTAAAGCATAATACAATACATAATATGTACGAAAATTCTGCTAATTTTCGTCGCACTTCCGCCATTTAGCCAAAGCAAACCAGAACGCAAATCAGCTGAATGGAAAGGTTCAGTCTGGGCAGGTACGAAGTTGCATAAATGTGTCCTTACATATACTCAACGAACGTAGGCATTACTATCGCGCTAGTTACCAGCTGAGGAAAAAACAACAGAAGGACCTATTGCCATCTATGGCTAATCCAGGTTACCTGATGGCGGTGCCAGTAACGGTGTCGTCGTTGTGGTAATCTAAGACGAAGGGTGGACCTGATATGTACCACGGAGTCCAGTTTCATCAACATTAAACCTGGTCCTGCTGCTCGCCGGGACGATGATCATATGCAGACGAAGTTTGAGTTCTGCTGTAACGTACTAAAATCCCTACGATACCATAGTGAATAGAGTATTCTGTTGAAACTTCATCCCAGTGTATGTTCTCTGCCTGTCGACTTGCTTCTCTATCGATCATATTATTAATGATGCATACATGTACGTGTATCAATATATGAATGATGTATAGAACTGAGTAAATATGGATACGTCCATCAGCTATCAAAAATAATAATAAAAATAACTATAATAATGCTTATTCCGTATTCCGCAAACTATTAGGCTACTATCAGATAGTTGAAATGTCAGCTTTCTAGAGGCAAGTCGCGATACTATAAATACCGTAGCATCGTTAGTAACTATGTGACTCACAAGTCAAAAACAATCCTAGAACATTATTGTTCCTTCAGGACAAAATGAAATAAGCGAGGCGAGCCAGCTCGAAATCTGAGCAGTACATTGCCTTTTACCAATTTTAAAGAATCACTCATATCACACTATTATTTTGAATTTTTTTTTTCGAGACTTTCGTCGTTTACACAGGATTAGGCCCGGCAGAACAATGCCTATCTAGCAAAGGCTGATGGGTATTATTTTTAGTTACCCTTCTTTCATGCTTAGTGAATTAAAGTCTAAAAACCAACAGATGTTTAATTGATTCGTTTTTATTTTACTAGCAAAAGTATTTCTAGTGCAAAAAACAATGTAACACGTGCGCACCGTGCATAACGTTTACGCATGCAGTTACTGCAAGATAGTTACAAAAAATGATTAATTTTTTAATTATCATTATTACTATTAGCTAGAGTTGTATTCAGCCTCATTACCATTGCTATAACTAAATTCGTGTAATCCTAATCTTTGCCCATCCGATTCTTTTTTGAGACCCTCCCGGTAAAATGTTTTCTTATCAGCAGATACACCGCCCAACCTCACTCTCAGCACCAACAACAGTAACAACAATGGGAACAAGCCTCGACTTTTTACGCAGGACTTTTGGCGATAGTCCTAGTACCCGGCGTATGTATAAATGCAAAAGAACTTTATCGCTATGCAAATAGAGACAGAGAAAAGCAGACGAGTTCTTCCCTCGCCAGAAAACGCCAGTCCACTCTAGGCCCTTATCACTATCACATTGAGTTCAAACACGGTCCTTAAATAGATTTAGACAGGTTCAAAAAACTCCCATTTTTTGGTATGTAAATAGAAACGCTATTACAGTCTCGGTGTTGGTAGAGGCTAATAATAATAATACATATACAAAAAGATAACCAAGATCAAATCATTTTACTTGTTCGGTAACACTTATGAGCCACATGGTAGATAAATTGTTGCCAACAGAAGAACTTAGCAGGCTTACCTGAACCCAAACAGTTCGTTTACCAATATCAGTATTTGACGACCGAGTCGCAATGGATAGTGGCGGAACGTACGATTTGCAGACAGTACGTATCATAGTAATCGGTTTCTCTTCAGAGTCTATGCGAAGTGTCAAAGATGTTGAATTGAAAACAAATCCACATTTCTATTACTCCACACAGAAGACGCAAAATATTGTTTACGTCGCCTAGCCTGAAGCTAAGCGATCGTATGTCGTAAGATAGCACACGCGGTTAGGTTGCTTGTAATAGCATTTGCGAATATATAGCATCCCTTAAGTTGTAGTTGCAACCGTTTCAACTTGCACTATAAGTTAGAATCTAGCCATCATCTAGTGACGACATCATTCCCTCACCAAGGACGGGTTCAAGAGGCTAACGGAAGAGGATTGAACTGTCATGTCGCCGTCATCGAGCTCAGCTAAGATGCCTTTCGTGTAGCAAAGAACGGTTTTAGAAAACCCTGAGGATACAATTTTGGAACCCTTGTTGTGCAAATGACAGTACTGAGGTATCACATTGCTATAAAAAGTGATTGAAGTTGCCTCAAAGCTGCAAGCATCGATGTTCTGGAGGTGCCGAAATCAAGATCAATAACTGGAATTACGAAGTATTCATTGGGGCATAAAGTACCCCATTTACTGAACCAAACAAAATAGAGCTGTGCGAGCAGCCTCGACTCGCTCCTCCCCTCCACCATAACCACAATGTACATGCTTAAAAGCTTTCGCAAATACATCCTATTTGTCGCAATGGTCTTCACGGTAACATCTATATCGGTCGTGCATAGTGTTGAATGTATCGAAGGCATTAAAAAGCTAGAAAAGCTTATTAAGCTCGGCCTCGTAGCAAAAGGGCTGACGCCAACAGTAATTCCTCTGTTAACTGAGAGGCGACAGCCAAGTAGTAGCCAGAAAGGCTAAAGTTGGGGGTAGAGGTCAAGGACGATACGGGGTCAATTTCGGCGGCGATTTCGGCAGAATGTACGATGGAGATGGTGACCAAGATGGCTGACAACTACATAACGCCCTCTTGAAGTAGTGGAAGGATCTTCAAATACTGTTCCGTAGTACGCCCACTATTTCTTCATGCGTCTGAGTTAGATCGGGCCTAGCAGATCGCAAAGTTGCTGTATATTATGGCCGTCGAAGTATTAGGCGTCTATAATGATTTACAGAACAAATGTGTACATCCTATTATTGAGGTGGCATCGATGACAACTGCAAGAATATATAATATACATATGTTTTCGCGGTAGAATAGTGCGCGCTTGCTATATGTCTGCGTTGTATGATGCCACGGTATTTGTAACTAGCTTTGATAAAAAAAAAAGACCCGTGCGCTAAATGTGCTTGTGTTCAATGGGTGATCTGACGGAATGAAACGCAGCGCTTTGTCGACGTTTATAACGTACCATCTAGAAAAACGCAAAATTTCAGTGGTAACTTTATATTGCTGTAGAATATATTACTACGGGTCCATAAGCTATTCATAATCTAATCGCCCGCTCAAAGATTCAGGGACGAAAAAGGAAAAAAGATTCAAATCAATACCCGAAAACGGATGGAGCTATTAGACGTTCCTAAACAAAGTTCTGCTTGTTTCAAACCGTTGTCAAAATTTTACACGTTTCTCAAGTGTCTCCGATGTTTATCGTAACCTACTGAGATTTCGTAAAACATAGAGATTCTTCTTCTGGTTTATTTTTATCTAACTTATTTTACTATGTGTAAAGTAATTGCTTATATATATAATGTATATCATAGGTCTACATAAGCTAAGTTATGAAGCTAACGGCTGATTGGACGGTTGAATCATTCACTAATGCATTTTTTTCTAAACACATATAAACAATCAACTAACTGCAGGTAGGTATTATGTTTATTATTATATTTTTGTTATATATTAACCACTATTATTTATGTAGATAGCCTGGTACTAGCTACTAGGATCAATTATGCCTAGGAACCTTTGTGAAGATCGATTTATCCATGAGCCGAATTCTTTTCTATAGCAGCAATTCGTATTATTACTGATTTTAAAATCGTTTGAATGCAGTATTTATAGATTACGGTGTGCGGCAGAAAAATAGAACCTGACAAAAAAAAAAAACGGGAGAATTTGTTCTACAATGAATCCATGTAACACAACACAAGTCCCTAATCTTGGCTCACTGTTCAATTACTCCTAGCCCAATCGGTAGTCATTCTGAGGCCTGATGCACCGATACTATTCCGCTTTAGCTGAGCGGTTCGGCAATTTCCTACCCTATATATCATTATCGATGTAAAACAGAAGATCGTATACAAATAGGTTCTTACCGTCACATCGCACTAACGGAATAGAAAATCTAAAAGTTGTATTAATGCATAGTAACAGTATCGTACTGAGTAGTATGAAAGTCGTTGCAAAGACCCGCCATAGCTTTCATTGATGTTACGCCATTCAAATTACAGAGGCGTCCCGAGACTAAACAGTATCTTAATTGCGAGCAGTTGTTCGTATGGGCTATTTACAGCATTATTGAAGAAAGTCCCTCACACGCACAAACAAACCTGGAGCGGTGATATAGTAACGGGGAAACCGAACATAGAGCTCACCCAAATCAGTAGCAAGTGGCGAGATCGAATCATTTGCTTGAGCTCATCGTCGATTTTTCGTAAGATATGAAATCGGCAGGACTTAGACCCGATCAAATCGTATATGCTAAAAAATATAGACTATATGTATATATATATATATATATATATAATAATGATGTATTGATGCTCTTATGGCCGCTGCAGTAGAACACCTGCACGAGCGCGAAGAAACCAAATGAAGGGTGATGAATTCAGTCATCTTCCAACGTTGACGTTTGACACTCTTCGTACTTAAAATAAATAGTTGTGCTGACTAATGGAGCGCAGAACTTTGTTGGAGTTAGTTAAGTATTTTTCAGTGAAGAACAACCTTTATGTTTCGAATTTTAGGTCCGGTATCGCCATTAGGCATAATTCCATCAGGCTGATCTGAGGGAATGCCTGATGTACCTAAAACTCGACCCATAAGGTAAAGAGCAGCTAGACAAAAACGTCATTCGTAACGTTCGAGTGCCGTTTCACTTTGTTAGCTATACTGCAGTCTTGTCATTTAGAAACAGTTCCTTCTAAACAGCTTAACAAGATGGCCTTGGTGAGCAGATTACCTAAAGCATACATTGTAATATTATGTAAGAGATTTGCACTAAGATGCGATACATCACTTAGGAAGGCTATATAACTAGGTCGAGCGCCAGCATCCTTCAAAATTAATGTTTCAATCGTCGTTGTCGTGGTCCTGCACGAACAATTAAGGTGTCATCGATCCAGTTTGCTTGGCGGTGCTGTATGTCGTTTTCTTATCATATACACGGTTTTAAGGTGACAGCCTTCAAATTAAATGTTTCTTTTTGCGAGCTGAACTATTCGAAGAGGAGACACGTATCCACCGTCTACTTGTCGTCAATGTATTGAATCCCGGAAAAGCTCTACAGGCCCGTTGTTTGAAGTGTTCTTTTTTGTTGAGCTGGCAGTGGCATGCTAAAACGCTCTGTATTTCATAGTCCTTTGAATGCCACTTGTTGTCGCTGCCTACTGGCCATACCTATCGCTATCGAGTCGAAAACAGCGCGCGGCTGAGAAATCCGGCAAAGCAGCAGTGGCTCCGCCGGATTCGCTTCCGCGCGAAGTTTTGAAACAACCTCACGATGTGCAATTACATTTAGTTTGCCCAGACCGATTTTCTTTTAAAGCGCATCAGCTTAAATAAACGCGGCTGTATTGTTAGAAAGTAGAACCGTCCAGGTGCGCCCACTAAAGTAGAGAGATCTTCAGGCCTCGACAAGTGAGGTATTTACTATGTTGTTTATGAATTCGGAATGCCTTAGATTATTTAGTGACGAGATTGTTCCAGTTACGTCGAACTGGCCTTAGATGTTGATAGCGTGTTTTTTTTTTACCTTAGATACATCTTCTCCAATTATACGAGTTACTATAGTACACTTAGAGGATACGAACTCAAACGTGCTTAGTACGCGTAAGTCGCACGTGTGCTTCTGCAGTCGTTGATCAAAAAGCATCCTCATTGATGTTAGAGGCCTCGGGAAGTTG